CTGCTCTGTCTGTGCTGCTTGAACTCTACTCTGCCTGTTTTACATACTGATCTTATGGCTGTATCATCATGCATTAATGAAAGGGAAACTTTGTGCAACAGTATTTATAGTCCTTGTTGTTACGTTACGACCACAAAAATCAACGTATATCATTTGGATTTGATGTGGCAGACCAACACAAAGTTGCACATGATTGCCAACTGGGTTGTTGTCGTTCTGCAAGGTGAACCCTCCACCTCAGCCACTAACAGGTTTTCCAGGACAATGTAGTACAGATCTCCAGGTCCGGGACGTAAACCTGGGACAGCTGTGTCGAGGACTGGGACCTCTGTATATGGGTCGCGTGATCTACCGCTAAACCAAACTGACCATAGTGCAGAAGTTTTTAAACACCAGACCACGAGAGCTGGTTGGCTGAAAACTTTTGATATGCCCCTGGTCCGATACACCGGCATCAAATGGCTGCTCGCCTCCCCAGGACGCAATCGAGTTCTGCAGAGTCCTGCTAATTTCCTCATTATTTGATTCAGGTGTGCTTAAGTAGAGCTACACCTGAAAGTTGCAGGACTCCCGGATTGGAGTTTCAGACACCTTCTTTAGGGCAAAGAGAAAAAGCTGGTAGCATTTCATATGTAATATCTACAAGAGATGCATCATAAAGCGATGATAGAACAAGCCAATCAGAAACAGGGAATAAAAACTTCCTTGTTCTCGCCATCTGACCAAACCGGTCATTTAAACAATAACAGTCATAGGTGTGGTTCTTGTTACAGAGAAAAAAAACTTGCACACATTCACACACTTACATGCAGATTTGTAGGTAAGTGCCTTGCCTAGGGGCACATCAAGATGTGGCAGCAGGAAGCTGGAAACAACCCACAACTTTCTAATTGCAAGCCCCTGAGCTTCATTCTGTATTTGGGTTTATTCCAGTGTTCATTTCTGCTGATCTGAATGATTGACAGCTGATGAAAACCCGAAATTCAGTTTCTCAGACAATTGCTGTATTCAACAGGACCAATTTCAAAAAAATATTTTTATTTTACAGAAATGTCAGCCCAATGAATGTTCTTACTAGACCTCAAGCAGCTTGGATTTGGTGCCTCTCCTCTCTTCCTCCAGAATCTCGGACCCTGATTTACTTTCATCTGAAAAGAAGGACCTTGGATCAGTGAACCGTCTGATTCTTATTCT